GTTTGAACCCTGATATTCCTTATTCTCCCCTTTCATAGCGGTCTCCTACCTTTCTTCGGACGAGTCTCTGGCGTAACTCTCTTCCTCGGTCCACTTCGGCCCGTGACTCGGCACCTACGGGCAAGCCTAGCCCTTTTTCCCAATCGAACGTGAGCGAGTCCCAATTACTCCTTCCGTTTCCCTTCAATTCTCTGACAACATTTCACTTAGTCGTTGAGCATCCCCTTTTAGTTACGTGTCTCACCTTCCTCATGCCGAAGTCCGGACGTTCTGTGATTCCATCCTCGAATAATAATTTTTATTCTCCCGCCTCCAATCACGAGCTTCAATCCGACCAAACACACTCAGAAACTGAATTTTAGTCCTTAGTTCCTGTTTTTTCAGAGGAAGTAAAGGGCGGCAATAGGCTTGAGCCGCCCGACACCGGGCGCAGGAGCGGAATCAATCGTCAGTGAGGGTGGACCGGAGGCGAACGACGACGAGCAGGGATCAACGAAGGATTTGACTTTTAGCACTGGGAGCGCGGGCGGTTCGGGGAAAAGGAAGAACGTGCGGCAGCAAATCTTTGAGGTAGTGGCCAGCGTCATGCACAAACACAGGACGCTCATGGTATCTACCATGGACGAAGCAAGCACGCAACAATGTTCCATGATGTTGGGGTAGTGCGAGATCTTGAAGAGTGAAGTTGAAGTGCAGAGGAAACATTATGTTGCGGCGGATGAGTCGGACAAGATGATGTGCAACGCCCTTGAGATAGCTAAGGCCATCCGCGAGAGATCATGAAGTCCCCGTTGTCATTCGTCACTACCTCGTTGTGCGGACGAAACCACCTACTCTGAACTAATGTTGTCGTTGCGGTTGTATACGGAGTCCTGTGTTGTTTTCCAGCGGACTGTACCTACACCATCGTCGGCATAACATTCCGAGTGACGATGTAGAACCGCCACAATTTTGTTTGGTCATTTGTGACAGGGCGTCATCAGTTAGAATTCAACATTGTAAGAGTCGTCGGCTGTTAATTTCGTTATATTCAGTTTGGTGCCATTTGAGTTTCCTTTTTTTTTTTGGCTTTTGTTGTGAAAAGCAAAGAATGTTAATTTACTCCCATTTTAGTTTATGTCACGGCAGGTTGCCCCCCATAGCATCGTCGATTGCTTGCGAGCTGCAAATCGACGGTGCCACGTGTAAAGATATTGAAATTTTGTGAACGACAACAACCAACTCTCTCTCTCTCTCTCTCTCTCTCTCTCTCTCTCTCTCTCTCTCTCTCTCTCTCTCTCTCTCTCTCTCTCTCTCTCTCTTTGTGAACATATTAACTTATATGTATATATATTTATATATGTATATAGCAGTGCGTATGTCTTCCACTCTCCCTGCACACGAGTGTCGCCATTTCTCCTTGTGGACATTATCGTGAATAACATCCTTCAGGCCAATGGCCTGACAACCTCGTCTTTTGTTTTGTCTGGATGTACATGCCATGTGGGAAGGTAGCTCATTCAGGAAGTTGTGCTTTGCACTAGAAAAAGGGGTTACGGAAAACTCACATACTGCATTCCCAATTTAAAACGGATGGACCACAGCAGGACATGACAACAGAATTGTGTGCGTAAACAAAAGAAACAAAAAACATAAATCAACTTCTTAATCCCAAACGACGCAAAAGGCAAAAAACAAACAGCACAGATGATGAAACAACGCTTATACCAAACGACATTTGTTTGTGGTAGTCGGACTGATGACCTGCGCGACGTGGCTGTCGTTGTGAAAAAGACATCGACGGGTCTCCCCAATCAAGGGACAGCAGATAATGAACCCCAGTTGGGGGGTGTTTGCTGGGTTGTGGAGTAGATTGTACAGAGAAGGGTTGCAGTTCGTGGTAGGTGTGGGGAATGGTGTTTCAGGCCCTCTTCTTCCAAGTCAGGGATCGTGGAGTCAGGGACACTCGGCATCTCACCTGTGTCGTCTACATTGCGCCACGTAGATCGACCCGCCACTTTCACATCGTCTTTCATCGTTGTTCGTTCGGAGAGGCCTGCGGAAGCAATGCCCCCGCGAGGATCCGGTCGTGAGAAGAGGTGGAACATGGCCCCCGGAGAAATGGGAGGGTCTCGCGGTGGTGGGCGACATGTGCCGAAGGCAGCCGAAGGCAAAGAGGGGTCGTATCGACGGCGTGTCAGGCAGCGCACGTCAGTTGGGAGTGAAGGGGTGGGCTGGATCAGAGGACACGGCCGTCGCCATGGCCGCCCGCTTCAGCAATGCCAACAGTGCAAGTCCAGACTCTCCACCGCCATCCATGGCCGCCACGTGTAAGCGATGATGTTTCTCCGCAGCCGCACCGATCCTCCCATCACTGAAACGCGAACAGCTCACCCGCAGAGGTCCGGCAAGCTGCCACCTTTCTGGGGATGTTGTCCTCCTGACATCGACACGTCTCACGGCGCAAACGCCCCTCACTACAAGATCGTCGGCGATCACGACACCCGCTGCGCATACGCACACTGAGCGGCAGCTGGACAAGGGTGAAGCCTCCCAGTAACCCCGCTTCAGCACTGCACCGTCTTCACACCGCCAGCCCAACGTCGACGCCGTCACCATCGCCGCGATTCGAATTTCAAATTTTGAACACAGAGGTACCCTTTACTGTTTTTCATTTTCTTCGACCACGTGAGGCCCTTTCCCACCGGACGCCTTTGAACCATGCCGTCACCACACGGACACCACACGCCAGACCGTGGACACGCAACCGCGGGGCAGCATATTTTCATATGAAAAAGGTCGTGGGCAGGCCAGAAGGAGACATCCTCGGAAGACGTCCCCGAGGATGTGGGACGACGCAGAAAAACTCCCTTAAGAACCACAAGGAAATTTCCTTGTGGCTTAAGGAATTCGTAAGGGCTGTCTAACGTCGCCCTACGCCTCTCATGTACAAGGCTGGCCTCGTTGATTGTGGTTGAGCGCCAGTGTGTATCTGTGTGTTTCGAGTTTTCACAACAGCCTGTATTCCACCCAGATGAGCAGATGCGAAATTGAAGGAGCTTTAGTTCTCCTGCAGAATACGAAGACACTTTTGTTGAGGCAAACCAACAATGACACAGTTTTCCCTTTCTAGCAATGGACACGGAGCAAAAGAGAAGTGTGTTGCGTACCCATTTGATTTGTCCTCTGTGAGACCTGTATGTTTGTGTATCGCGTACCAATTTCATTTGTCCTCTGACTCCTTTGTGACACTTGTATATCTGTGTGCCATCACAAACACATGGTCTACCTCTACGTTGCCACTTGTACGCACCCTCGTACGAGTACGGACTCGTACACTTGTACTCGTACGGACTCGTACTCTTGTACTCGTACGCTACTCGTACGCAAGGGGCCTCGTACAAGTTTTTTTTTTTTTTTTTTTAATCTGGTATTGTTTTTTTTTTCTCAAATTTTAATAAGAATCTGAAGATGATGCTCAACCAAATGTTGCTTGTTTTGTGTTGTTGCATC